AACGTATGAATGTATGTATGAAGTATGTAAGTCTGAAGAAAGAAGTTTGGAATGACTAAATATCAGGAATAAAAATCTCTGGCCTAGTTAGGCTCTAGCATCAATTCTGCCGTTTCTAAGAAGTTAACTTCTTCTGATAGTCTCTCATGAAAAAAATCTCTTAAGAGGTGAAGAAGCTGGTTTTGAACTAGAGGGTGTGCTCCTCCCATCATCAGATAAACTCAAGGACTCACTGGTCTTAAGAAATATTTCCAAATCTGGCAAAAATGAGGACAGATGGTCCCTAAATGGAAGAATAAGGGTAAGGCTACCAAAGTCCTCTGGTAAATCTTCATACTAGCTTTTTAGCCAGAATTACAAAAACCTGATGGCCCTGAGACCAATCAAAAAGACAGTTTATGCCTCCACTAGCCCTTAATCTTTTCCAGCTCACTAGCCCTAGAGTCTTGGTAAGACTGGAATCCACCTAAGGAGGAAAAGCAGCTGATGGAATTGGCCCTTCTGATACACCCTTTTTCTCCCCTCAAATAGCAGACCTATCACCGTTGTCTGCATCTTTATTGAAAGAACAGAATTTCATAGCTGTGTGCCTACAAGCAGCATTGATTTCAACCAAAAAGAAGTTAGTAGACAAAATCCTAATATTTACAAAAAGCAGTAACCTGCACAACTATGGACTATGCAACACACTATAACAGTGACCAAGTTTTAACAGAGTAAGATAAGAAAAATCTAACTAAATTTAATAATGTAACTACACAGGGAGAGTGTTATATTACATGACAGAACAGACTAGTGGAGAGAAACTGAGGGATGACTTGTGGGTAGGAGATTTTATACACTGTTTTAAAACAATGGGTTTGAGGGACATACATCCTCCCCCCAGCAATGTTTCACTGTGACGGGTAATACAACTCCTAAAATGGGGATCAGCAGGGGGAATGTCATGAAGGAGAGAGAAATTCCAGTCGCTTCAAAGGGGTCATAATTCCAAAAAAAGGCCTCTGATAATTCAGCTTCTTCCAATGATCCTGCTAGAAGAGTTTCAGTGTCACCCTTTGGACAGCCACACAGAGAGAGCCAAAAACAAACCGGGCCTCAAGAGGAGTATAGCTCAGCCCAAGACCATCAGATATAAAAAGCAGCTGAACTTTTTTTTGGGCAACAAATTAGAAGAGTCTGGTCTTAACTATCAAGACATGATAACACGCAATACAACATAGGAACTGCCATACCATATCAGACAGTGGTACAGCTAGTGCAGTGTGCTGTCTCTGCGAGAACTAGATGTTTCAGAGGAAGTTGCAAGAAACCTCATTGCAAACACTTTTGGAATTGCCTCCCAAAAAGGGAATGTTATTCTTAGGGCTTATCCACAGGAAGACATAATGCACACTAGCCTGCCATGCAATAACTGGCTCTGTAGATCCTGCTACTGCATATTAGAAGTCCAATAGTACACTTCGACATACGCAATACAGCACTTTTTAGTGCATGGTAGCAGGGTCCACAAGACCAGTTAGTACAGAGCACGCTAGTGTGCTATAGATTTACCCCCTAGCTTGCCACTCACTAAGTTTCCATGTGGATAATCCCTTAGCTTCTGTCAAAGAGAGACCGGCCCATGCTCTGAAGAATTAAAATGTATATCAATTCTATTTTTTAAATTTCTTATCGAATTTAACTGTGGATGTTACAACTGTGGCTTATTATCAACATAATTTTATCATAATTATCAAAATAATTATTATCTTATTATCAACATAAATTTATTTGAAGCCTCCTAAACTCTTAGTTTCAATGACCTCTCCTGGCAATAAACTCCACAGGTTAATCATGTGTTGTAAAGAATTACTTCCTTTTATCAGTTTTAAGTTTGTTGCCTAATGATTTCACTGAATATCCTTTTGTTCTTGCATAGTGAAAAAGGGTAAATAGAGCATATGATTTATCTTTTCTATAGCATTCATTATTTTGCATCATTTCCATTATTATTTATTAATTCCCCGTTCAGTAATCTCCTCTTTAAACGAAACTAAACTTAGTCCCAGTCTTTTAATGTTCTTAAATTTTTATTTTATTTTTATGTACCATTTACATTGCTGTAGTGCCTAGAGACCAAGCAGGTCAGGTCCTCATTATACTAGGCCTATACACATGTATAGAATGTGATGGTCCCTCCCCCAGAGAGCGTTACATGGAAATCTTGTCCTGACTCTGTGCATTGTTTGTATCTGTACTCCCCAGGATTAATGCTATGTTCTTTTAGAGACAAGGCAACCAGAACCAAGCACAGCATATATAAAGGTGTTGTTACATTTCAGTTTAATGAGCAATTATGAAAAATTTAGATATTTACATACCCTTCTAAAAGTCTTGCTGGTATTAGATAATCCCTGATCGGAGGAACACCAGCAGAATACACATACAACTATTAATTTGTACTGCTGGACATAGATATTACTTCTATATTACTAATCTCTGCCATTCTGGTAAACCTCTCTCAGATTATTGTCTTGAAACAAGGTCACAGTCTTGCAGCTACAAAATAATTTCAAATGGGGTCCATAACTGCAGCTTTGAGTGTTGTTATAGGCATCATTCTGAGTTTTTAAAGTGAAGTCTCTATTTTTCATAGTCCAGGTTAACATTTAATACCTCCTCCATTTCTCTAAACCTACCAAATCCACTTTTTTTCTTTTTTGCAAATAGAACATTTGTTGTATCAATAACCTAAGGTGACCTGAACATACATCTGCAAGCACTTGAAGCAATATAGGCTGAATAGCCTAATTTTCCTTCTAAAATACAGAGACAAAGTCATTTAAAATTGTTAGGCATTTCTGTGGCATTTTTATGAACTCTATTGATCACAGTTTTATAGAATCATAGAATATTAGGGTTGGAAGGGACCTCAGGAGGTCATCTAGTCCAACACCCTGCTCAAAGCAGGACTAATCCCCACCTAAATCATCCCAGCCAGGGCTTTGTCAAGCCTGACCTTAAAAACCTCTAAGGAAGGAGATTCCACCACTTCCCTAGGTAACCCATTCCAGTGCTTCACCACCCTCCTAATATCCAACCTAAACCTCCCCCACTTACCTGTGACAACCACACAGAATTGCATCTGCCTGTTACATTTAGGATTAGCGTGCCATAGATGAAACTTTTATCAAGAGGCAGAAA